GTACACCTGAAATTTATGCAATGTTATAAACCAATGCTACTGCAATAAACAAAAAAAAAGAAGAAAAATAAATAAATAAAAAGAGCCTGTTTAAGGACTATGCAATTAAGTAACTTGCCATCAATGGAAATTTGCGGTATCGTAATTTTTATTTCAAAATGCATTTGGGGAAGAGGGATTATTATGTCCCAAACTATGCAATTATCATGGATTTTGACAGCTGAGTCTGAAGTTTCCAATTAGGATTTTTAAAGATGTAGTCTTTTTGAAATATTTTCAATAATGGTTAAGGTTTAATTGTTTGTAATTTTGCTTTATGGTAGTTTTATCAAACAAATGATAAGATGACAATTTCTTTTGAGTAATCAAGGCTGATCTAGACGTGCATAACTCGGAAGAAACTTTCAGATGAAAGATAATACATGCATTCTCCAGATCTTTGCTACTCGAAGTGTGTGTGTGGATCAGCAGCATTGGCATCAGCTGGGAGCTTGTTAGAAATAGAAAATCTAAAAAAAAAAAAGGGAGAATCTCAGGTCCTTCCCCAGGCCAACTGAATCAGAATCTGCATTTTAATAAGATTTCGAGGTAATTTGTATGAACATTAAATTCGAGAAGCACTGTTTTAAATCACAGGAAGCTAATTATATAATTAGAGAGACGGCCTGTAGGACCTTATTCCATATTCTTATCATTCTACTTGACAATGAGGGTCAGAATAAATTTAAGAAGTTTTCCTTCAAATTTTACAACAAATTAACCAAAATTAAGCTAAGACATTTCAAATACACAGAAAAGTACAGAACACAATATAATACACCATCTGTAAACCCATCCCTTGGTTTAAAACGATTTTAATTTTAGCCTTTTGCCATATTTGATTCATCTCTCTCTTCTTCCCCTCATTGAAAAAATTCCTTTTATAGCAATAAAATATACATAACATAAAAATTAGCACTTTAACCCTTTTTGAATGTACAATTCAGTGACATTAAATACATTCACATTGTTGTGCAACATCACCACTACCCATCTCCAGAACTTCTTCATCATCCCAAACTGAGATTCTGTCCGCTTTAAACATAACTCCCCACTCCTCCTTCCCCCAGCTCTTGGTAACCACTATTCTACTTTCTTTTACGATTTGACTATTCTAGATAACTTGTGTAAGTAGAGTCATATATTTGTCCTTTGGGATCTGGCTTATTTCACTTAGCATAATATTTTCAAGAGTCATCTATGTTGTAGCATGCATCAGAATTTCATTCCTTCTTAAGCCTGAATAATATTCCATTGCATGTACATCCTACATTTTGTTTATTCATTCATCTGTCAATGGAGATTTGTGTTGTTTCCACCTTTTGGCTATTGCGAATAATGAAGCTATGAATGTTGGTGTACAAAAATCTGTTCAAATCCCTGATTTCACTTTTTTTGAGATCCTTTGCCCCTTCCACTATGTGAGAACACAGTGAGTAGTTGGCAATCAGCAACCTTGAAGAGGGCCTTCACCAGAACCCAACCATGCTAGCACCACGATCTTCGGCTTCCTAGCCTCCAGAACTGTGAGAAATACATTTCTGTTGTTTATAAGCTACCCAGTCTGTAGTATTTTGTTATAGCAGCCTGAATGGACTAAGACAACTAGTATACTAAAAGTAGCCTTTTCCAATTTGCTTTTCTTCATTCAACAATATATTTTGAGATTTGTCCACCCTGAAACATGTACATCTAATTCACTCATTTTATTTGTTGTATAGCATTCTGCTATATTCACATTGATTCAAAGTATTTAAATCCATTTCTCCAATGAGGGGCAGTTAGGTTGTTTCTGACTTTTTAAAAATAACAAAAGCACTGCCACAGACATTCTTATATATGTCTCACACATGCTAGAATTTTTGTAGGGTAGAAAACTAGAACTGAAATTTCTGGTGTCATAGAGTAGGTTTGGAAATGATAACTTTTAACACTGTATCCTAGACATTCATGACTGAGGTGGATATAAGCAGTAAGGGACTATTTATTGGAACTATCAGTAGTTACTTGGTTAGATTATATATGTCATTTCCACTAGATTTATTCTAAGGCCTGCTGTTGTTATTGTGAAGATGTGATGATGGATGAGTTTGGCCATCTAGTGTCATCATTTGATCACATGGCTGAATCTTCTAGGAAGCAGGCCTTCTAATGGATCATTGCCAGCTTTGGCCTTAAAACCTCCCAAATTATTTGGTCACTTATTACACAACTTGAGACTATGATATTCTGAATTCGATCAAATTGGTTTCAGACAGCTGAAATGGTAGATATAACAGTATTCTCAATTTTTAAAAATGGTTTTTCATTTTTAATCAGGAATCTGAATTAGGGTTGAGAGAGATAGGTTGTTACAGAAGCAGATAACTCAGAGGCTGTTATTAACTGAAATCTGTTAACATCTTACTTCTCCAAAAATGTGTTTGGCAGAGGGACTGCATGAAGAAGGACTTGATTCTTAGCCTTCAACATGCAAGTTATTGATCTGGATGGCCAGTCAGCACACTAGAGTGTCCTCTTACCTGGATGGTTGGTGCTCCAACAATGATAACTGATCAACTATAGACCCGTCTTTAGAATTGGCCTCAACCATGAGTTCTTTGCAAGACCTACTTTAAACTTCATTAAATGTTTTCAAGGTAAAATAAACATCACACTCCCTAACATTCCCAAACTAGCCAAAGACAACCAAAATAAAACCAAACACAACCTTTTCTGTTCAGACAGTAGAATGGTGGTTACCAGAGACTGGGGGTAGGGAGAAAGGAGAGATATTGATCAAAGGGTACAAACTTTCAGTTATAAGATGAATAAGTTCCGGAAACCTAATGGATAGCATGGTGACTATAGTTAATAATAATGTATTGTATACTTGAAATTTGCTAAGAGGGTAGATCTTAAGCCTTCTCACCACACACACACACAAAGGTAACTATGGGAGGTGATGGATATGTTAATTAGTTTGATTGTGGTAATCATTTCACGATGTAAACATATATAAAAACATCACTTTGTATACCTTAAATATATACAATTTTTATTTGTTAAAAATTAAATAAAAATATTTTAAAAAAACTGTCCTGTTTAAAACATGAGTTTTAATAATATTGCTAATGACTTTTATAATTCCATAGAATTGACTGACTCTTTTGATTGTTATAGCCCTGGGTCAATTGCAACAGAGAACATAGTTTTATAGACCAAAATCTTTGGAAAGTAAAGTAGATATTCAGAAGCTAAGTCATTGAAGTTGCTAGAATAAATCAGTGCTGATCCCATCACCAGTGAGGCTGAATATTTGTCGTCCCAGAAATAGGTAAATCTGTCCGTGATGCAAAAGGCTGGCAGGAGATGTCTCCATTTGAACTAGGGAGCTGGTATGTTAGCAGGGTCACTGCTTTCAGCCAGAAAGCCTGGGATTGAGTCCTGGTTCTGTAACTTATATTTAGATAATCTTGAGTGAATCTCTCAGCTTGTCTGAAATCTCAATTTTCTCATCTACCAAAAGGCAATGACAAAACCGTACTTACTTCAAAGGACTGTTCTGAGGATTCGATGAGATGGTGCATGCAACAGTTGTTGAGGAATTGTAACCTCTGTAAACTGTCACATAAACACGAATGGCTCCCTCATAGTCGCTGAATGCCCAGGTCCTGAATGAGAAAAAGCAAGAGTGGTACGTTTGTTACATATTGACTGTGTTTTAATAATAGGCATGTAATGTCATGTTTTACTGTTGCTTCTCTTGTCTTTCTATTTTCTATTAGATTTAGACTTTTGGCTCACTTCAGTTTTGCTAACCATGATGCCACTCATGGACCTAACCTGAGCAGATTGGTGAGGGATTATAGTCCAAATTGAGGCTATGACTTTGAAAAAACAATCTGTCTGAGTGGTGGAGGTTATTATATTATTTCTTTTGGCTGAAGTTTAACTAGTTGTTTCAATAAAATATTCAAGAATTTTGAGATAAAGGCAGTTAAGAATCTCCAACAGTTCATCCTACGAAGTTCAAATGTTCTTGGGTCTTGGCTGAAGGCTGTGCTCAGATTATAACTAGTCACAGCAATTTGGTCTAGGCACAGACTGTGATCCTGACAAATAAATACAAATTGTATTAATCCTGGAAGTTATTCACTAGATGTGAAGAACACAAAGCTCTCTTAAAATGAACAATGCATGCATCATATGAAACATGACAAAGGATAAAATGCTTTACGGGGTTGTTTTGATATAGCTAGTTTGGAGAAATCAATTTTGCCAACCATCCTCCCCCATCCCCACCCGCCAGCAGAGTTCTATGATTCAAAACAGGATTTCCTGTATGCTGTCAGAAGCATCCGTGACATTTTTTTTTTTTTTTCGCTAGTTCTTCTAAAGTTCCCCATTTGGGACTTTCAATCTCTTGCCCACATTTTTCCTGAGCCCTACATATGGTACGGTGCAGGCTGTGCCTTGCAGAAGGGCACCAGGCCAAAGGGAAGAGTGAGCCATGTGCCCTCACGTTGGTTTGTGTGTGCTCAGAAGGGGTACCTTTTCCTAAATTGCATACGGTACCATAGGGGCTAGCAGAGGCTCTGCCGTCTTCCTCAGTGTCTTGCTTATCTACGTTCTCCTCCATACCCTATTTTCCATTCTTCAGCCTTTAAGCTGCCTCATCGCCACTCGTGAACCTGATCTCCTTCTTGAAACCCTCTCACCCTCTGTGCCTCTCCAGCTGTCCCACAGGCCATTCCAAAGCTCTCTCACCCTCTTGTTTCCAAAGAACCTCCTCTAACTCGAATATCTTTTATAAGATAGACTCAAGTGTATGTTTTTGCGCATAATTCAAAGCCCATGAGAAAAAACAAACTTCGTTGGTTTGGTGCATTGATTTTCATCACTATAAAAAAATTAAAAGGATGAAAGCTAGGTTGAGTTGAAATGCAAAATTATCAAGAGCAAAACAGGAAACAAATGTTTGCTCAGCCAACCGTTTCCTACTGAGGGCTCTCTGTGTAACGTGGTCTATGAAGAGTTCACTGTTAGCCTTAAACAGATTGAAATGATCCATGGGGGGAAATCACACCAAACCCGATGGCTGTCTGGAAGTGATGTTCAGCGCCAGGCCCCTGAGCTGCTGCGGAAAGGCGGGCTGTGAAGGCATGTACGTGTCAGTGTTGAAGGGAAGCCTTTGAAAGCTATCTTTCTAACAGGATGAATGTGAAAGCCACAGGGGAGAAAAAAAAAGGCAGCACAAAACTGCCACTGGAGCATTGCTTCCTGCCCATGTAGCTCTAGCTCTTTGCTGACAGTTATTCTTAGGCCTTCTTTGGCTTCAAAGATTTCCTCTTTTCTATTTTTGGTAGCAGAATATGGATTTAGATCTGCACAGTCCCTCTTGACTACTAATCCTTGCCCTGAAGAGAGCAGGGCTGCTGGTTTCTGTTAGCTATCAGTTCTCTTTCTTTTCAGCACCTCCAAATGATTTTTAATATTAAGGACACAGATTTATGGGAAGGAGTCATTGAGTTTTCAAACTGATTTGTAGTCTCCTAATGTGCACATTCCTTTCTCTAGCGGGGGCATCTCAGAGATCATCTCAAGTAATGGGGCCTGACTTCTGTGATGAGTGAAAGAATCCAGGTTGGTAAAACAGACGGCCATCGCATGACCAAAAAGCAAGCAAGGATGATTTGCATCATAGTAACATGTAACTGATTAAGCATGATTCCATTTTGGAAAGAAATAATTGAAGCCTATGTAATCGAAGATTAATCTGCATAAACCGTAACAAAAAGCTACAACCTATCCCAGACAGGAACGCTGAGGACCCTGGCCTGTACAAAAGGAAACACATTGCTCAGAGCAAGCATTTTTAATTTCATGGGTGTTTAATTTCATACCCTCTAATCCTGTTTCTTGAATCACTTCTGTTTTTCCTGATCTCACCACCACCTAATTTTGCTGGCCCACTAATAGTAATAACCTTGGATGGGTTATCTTTTCTATCCAGATATCTCAACATTTTTTTTTAATAGGAAATGTTAAGCCCTCTAGTCCTCTCATAAAAATATGGGGCCGCCCACTGGGCTGAATGCAGAGCTGGGGATCAGGAATGCTGCCCCCTCTGCCCAGCTGCCTCTGCCCTTGTGATCTTAATCAGGGTCTCCCTCCGTGGCTTTAAAAGGGTGACAATCTTATGCTTAAAAAGGATTATTGTGGGAAGGTGTAAACTGAAGCATCAAGGGGTGGCCCCACCTCCCCAAGGTTACCCGTATGTTTGTCTCCACCATGGCGTCTGGTTTGACCTTCACATCCCTCTAGAAGCCATGAACCCACACAACATGAATATTCTGCGTGCCATTGATTTTATTTTGTTTTGCAAAGAACAGAATGCTGGTGTGATTAGGGGAAGGAGTGGGACTTTGAGAATCAATTCTAGGGATTTTGCAAATGGATAATTGGCAAGAAGAAAAACCAAATCTAGGTCATATATTGGGTTTCCAGCACTGGGAAGGTATCTTTAAATATATTTTACATAATGGTTTTGAGCAACACAGCATTGTCTGCGAAGTGGCAGTACTGACAGTGAGCTAAAAAGCTACATAATAGAGTTAAAAAGAACGCCACCTTTAACTTTTCTCCAGAGCATTTTTACCCTGCTGAATTTTTTAGGGGTTATTTTAAATATGTCCCCATGTCAGACTTGTTCAGAAAGAGAGTATTGTGTCTCCCAAGAGAATGATGATATGCTTATTTATTTATTTATTTTTTTAGTGGAGCAAAATGCTAACTTTTAGTAGACTATCTAGCTTTTTCCTTCAGAATAAGTCCTCCCTCAGAATTCCTATGCAAATATTCAAACTCCCGGGCTGGGAAAAGGTTAAAAGGAACTGAAACAGTCTATAGTGGCTCTTTCTGAGATGCACTCCAACACTTGGCAGGATGAGGTGTTCATAGCAGGTGCTGGATTTGCTATAAATGGACAATTTATAAACAGAGCTGACAACTGGGAAAACAGAGCAGTGGGGAATGCCGGCATTCCAGGGGCCAGTGGTTGATTTCCTATCAGATGGTCCTCAGCGTGGAATTATTGATAGCTGCTGCTCTGAAAGAAAGCCAGTTGGCCGTTGCATAAAAGGGCCGTACCTCAATTCATGCCTGATCTACTGCTAGATGTTTTAAATGGGTCAGTGCAAATTAGCTTCTTCAGGTTGGTCTTTCCTTAATTAGCAATTTAATTGCAAAGTCTTCTCCTCCCTCCTCAACCTGGACTGAATTTAACTCTCTTTCCTTTCTGTAGTGCCAGAGGACTGGGACCTAGGAGAAGTCTGGCCGAAACAAAAGAGGAGACCAAGGGCAGCGGGGGAGGATTCAGAGCAGCCTTTAGTGCCCAAGGCCAACATTAGAACCTGGCTAAGGCAAGCCATGTGTGCAACTGAGGGCAGCATTTTTGGCCATGTGTCCTGGGGAAGAAAGGAGCAGGGCCTTTGTGCACTGAGCCCTGGGGAAGAATCAGAAATGTGCAGCAAATGCATCTCATTTCTCTTTTGCTGTTTGTCAAGGGCTGCCAGTACACTAGGACATTCCTAAGACCCCCCCACAGCAAGGTTCTGCTTTCAGAGTATTCCCGTGGTGCAATCTAATGATCACATTCATAATTTCCATTGTTTTTATTTTTTTTTTTGGACAAGTTTTCCGCTGTAGAAAAGTTTGATGGTAGTTCCTGGATGGATGGCATTGGCTGACATTCCTACACATGTATCTGCAGGCATGCATTGGTGCAGTTCTGCTCAGAGCTAGTGGAGTGGCGGTACCTGTTTGTTCCAGCTTGGGAGCGGTTTTTCCAGAAGACATTTGTTTCACTGGGTCTCTACTTTTCTCCTAACCACACCCTATTGTTTTTCTCTTCAGAAGAACAGACTGAGGGCCTGATCCTGCAAAGACCTTTGACTCCCTTACAAGGAGTGAAAATTGCACAGCCTGAAGATTAAGTTATTGAATTGGATGCCCATCCCAGGATGATGGTTGGCCGGGGCATGAGGAAGTAAAAAGCATAGGGCTTTGAGGAAATCCAGAATAGGGACTGTTTGATGCCACATCATGGTGAACATCCCCAGATTAGACAGGAATCTAAGGCTGAGGCAATGGATACTTCTGTTATTGATGGGCAGTCTTGTCTGTGAGTGGAAACTCCTGAGAATCTTGCCTCTGGGCTTCATCATAGCTTCATTAACTGTGGTGAGCTCTCTAGCCAACGTGTGACAAATGTTACTGAGCATGTATTATTTATAAAGAACTGTCCTGGGTACAAGAGGTATAAGGAAGGATAGGCACAGTATTGCTAGCCAGAAGTTCACGACGTGGTTAGGGAGATACACCATATTCTTGTGAAAAGATGATAAGTCAGGAGCAACAGGGCATGTATAAGCCACAAACAGTAAGGGAATGCTCTAGAAGTGCCCAGGCAGGAGTGAGAGCTGGTGGGTCAGGGAAGACTTGAGGAGAAGGATAGGACTGGAGCTGGCCCTTGAAGGGTGGAGAATTTCAGAGATTGGAAATGCCAAAGAGAGATTATTCCAGGTGGAGGCATGCCATGCTGAGCCCCTGGTGAGGAAATGGCCCCTGAGCTTGGGTGGAGAGGAAGAAGAATGTCCTAGGGGGTAAGGCTGAAGGATCATCCAGATCTGGAGGCCATACAGAGTTTGAAGTTCATCTTGCTGGATGTTTCTGATCAGGGAAAGGAGACGAGGAAAGCAGGATGTCAGGAAGGTGAAGGCAGAAGAGAGTGGCAGTCACCGCAGGAGGACATCACAGAGTCTGGTCTCGATGACAAGGCTTAGGTCTGCAGAGATCTATGGACTGTGGTGTGTTCTAAGCCACTGTGCATAAAAGGAACCCTCCTCCTTCCTCGGCATCCTTCTTCCTCCTCGAAGCCCCTGCTCGCCATCTGACTCAACGAGGGCCACCCAAGCTTCTGCTTATGGATTTTCCCCATGAGCACAGAGCCAAAGCGAAACAAAGGCGGATTCATTTTTTTCAAGTTCACTGCTTGACTCTTATTTGCTCACTCTTGGATTCCTGTTAGTGTTGCCCTGACTGATTTGAGGCCTTACTGGACATTTGGACGATTGCTTATTTTCCTGGCTAACTCAGAAGGTCATCTTTGAGCTCTGGAAGCATCTGCTCAACTTGACAGACAACTAAGGCAAACCCCCAGATCTGAGGGTGGGCGTGGGGTCTGCCCTGGTCAGGGAGGGCTCACCTACTAAGAGCCCTGGGAGGAAATGAGTGTGGACCCCTCTTTCCTGATGCTTTTTTTCCTCATTTTCTAAACACCTCAATGTGTGGCCTGCAGACAAACAACTTGGGCATCGCCTGGGAGTTAGTTAAAAATATAGAATCTGAGGCTCCACCCCGGACCTACTGGATCAGGATCTGTATGTTTTGCAAGATCCCCAGGGATTAACATGCACATTAGAGTTTGAGAAGTGCTGCTTTCAACCTAGCTGGATGGATGGATTACCTGTGGAGCTTTTAAAACATTCTTTGGCATATTGCCTACCCCAGACAAATTAAGTCAGAACCTCTAGGGGTGGAGCCCTGGCACTGGTATTTTTTTAAAAGTTTCCAGATGATTCTATGTGCAGCCTGAGTTGAAAACCACTGGCCTTTGGTCTGAGTTAGCCACTCTGTTTCCAAGGCACCAAATTCCCCTCATGTTGTAAAACAAAACACCACTAACCTTTTAGCCACAGACCCAGATGAAGTGTAAATAATGCTAATTAAGCATTTATCCAGAAGCTGATTAGCAACCTCCTGGCCAAGAACAGAGTAACCACTGGATTCACTTGAAAGTGTCAAGATGGTAGCTTGTTAAAATTCCTAGTCTTGAGTATTCTCTTCTGGCCTTGGAGGGTGCCTCCATGTAGAACCTGGAAGACGGTTGCCTTGCCCCTAATCTTCTTGGTATCTGAGGAGATGGTACCCAGGCCTGCACTCCGAGGAGCCATGTTCCCCGCCTATTGATAGCAGAAACACACCAAGGAATTCATAGTACTGATTTTCACTCCAATGCTCACTTTCAGGAAACACAAAAGGGTTTAAAAGCAGTTTTCTACTAATCCTCAGGCTAAGGTAGATGTCAAATTTTAATAACTACCGTAGTTATTTCAATACATTTTCTTTCCCATTGCGGCCTTTCAGTTACTTAACGCCAGGGGGCTGGGAACCTTCACCGATGAATTTCAGTGAGTCTCAAGTTAGTCTCTGATTTTCCTCAGTCCCCCCACTCCAGCTCTACTGTAATATCAAGAACATTCCACCGACAGATTCCGATCCTAAGCCAATCTTGGTCTGGGCTTGGAGGGTACTAGCAACTCTGTTTCTTCTTCTTGTCTTACCCCTGCCCCTTGGAGCCCCAGGATGGTTGTGGGCCTGAGCACTGCTGTAGGAGCTGTGGCCTTTCAGGTCATTTCTTATTTTTTGTCCTCTTAGAACTAGGTTTGAAGTATAGCCTGGTTATCTGAAGTCTACACATGTTTCTTAACCCTTTCTGGGCTTTTTTCTGGGCTGGATCCTGCTTTGATCTAGGACATCCTAGAGTTAATGTGTTGATCCTTCTCTGTCTAGGATCTCCAGGTGCTGTGCCCACTCAGCTTCTCGGCGCCATACATACTGGTCTGCACTGACTTAAGGTCACCTTGCCCCTTCGCACACTGCAGTTTGGACTGCTGGACACTTCCCTCAGGGGCTCACATCTTACATGGCCTCATTCCCTTAGCCGTGGCTCCTTCCTCTCTTGGTTTTCTCTCTTTTCCCTTTGGCTTGGCATTAGGATCTCAGCACAACTCACTGCTCCTACCCCCACTCAATATACCACAGTAGCAGCACCAGCTCAAATGTGACCATGTGGACAATGGCACCAGGACCATCATTCTCCATAACAATAGTAACATTATTTTTTTACTGATGAGGAAACAGATTTGAAGATGAACCAGACGATGGTGGTGAGAAGACCCCAACTTTCTCACTTCCAGTTTGAAGCATCTAAATTGTCTTCAGTTCTACATCACAACATTGCAAGTCAAGATGACCATGGGAAAAAATATGAATAATTGAAATCCAGCATTGATGCTAAACCGAAGTGACATTTATGTTTGGCTTTGTGTATATGTATATATATGTGTATATACATATAAAATATATATAAATACATATATACTGAAATGTATATGTATACATTTACTGAAAATGTAACAGGTGTTTGTTAAGTGGGCACCAAGTCCAGAAATAAGCCTTGTCTACCTCCACTGAAGGTAAAGGACTGACTGCTAATTACCTCATGAGGCTCCTAGGCTGCCAGTCCCGGTGACTCCTTCCGGGCCAGCAGGACACTCACTACTCTCTGGAAGCAGATTCAAGAGGAAGATCAGAGGATTTTGGACATCGTTGCTGTCTGTAAAAGAATTTATAATTTGCACCTTGCTGTGCCCAGTTTGCTCATAGGCACTCTCACTCTGGTGCTTGAAGTTGGGTTGCCTTCTGTCCAGACAAGTAGTAGCTTCTTGGGCTATTAATTATGTAATTAAAAGTCTAAACCTTCTCATTTTAAATGATCATTAAATGTTTAAAGGTATGTTGCTTATAAACCTATTTTACTTTTTGTCTTTCCACTCTTTCCATTTTTATTGTCTTTTATCGTGGGCTGGCTGGCTGGCAGAGCCAAGCTAATGACTGCCTTATTGTTTTTGGAAGACTAGATGACACCAAGACTATTAATGAGTCAATAAATTGGGGCTACAGAAGGGCCTGGCTGCTTTCCTCTTGCCCCTTCTCTTGTTAGGCATATTGTTCTGCTGTGGCTAAATCTGAGAGGATGGGCACTGTGAAATTGGCTGTTGATATGGCTGAGAGCCCTCGATGATAAAAGAAATATAGAGGGGGCAGAGACTCCAGGGACCCAGAGAGTGAGAGGGTCAGGGGGACCACCCCAATGGGAGAAAGGAAAGGAGGAGAATTCCAAACTGAGAATTCTACCCTATATTAGTTAGAAGCATGTCCACCCTCTGATCAAAACCCATGGCTTAGGCTAGCATTGAATCAATGTGAAGTTGACTCCTACATGAATACGCTCACCTGAATTAGAATGACACCCAGCAGTTATCTGGTTTCTACGGAAAAGGTAAACGTTAGAGTCAGAGTAGATGACTGAGTGTCTCTTCTTCCTATCTTCTCACTAAATCTAACCCATTCTTAAAGTGAAATAAAATCCAGCAAAACCTTTATCCTGGACTTTTGCTGTTTTTAAACTCTATAAAGACTGACAGTCCTTTTTTTGGGAGGAATAATATATTGTCTATTGCATAATGACACAAATTATAGAATAAATGAATTGTTGCTTTCTTGATAAAACTCTATTTGCCCTAAAAGTTATAAGGATATATCTTTATTTTATTTTTAGATTTATTTTTAAAATAAAGTGTATTTTTCCATTATGAAAATAATATGGAAATACAGAAGAATAAAAAGAAAAAAAATCATCGCTGGTCTCAAAGACCATCTCTGTTAATATTTTTGTGTATTTTCTTACAGACTTTTCTATCAAGAGGTTTTTTTGTTTGTTTTTTGGCAGGGAGATTGGGCAGGTGGAATGTGGGATATAATATACATGGCTATTTTTAAATTCAATTAAAATTAATTTGGTTTGGAGGCTTCTGCCATCGTTTGGAGTCACTGGGGAGTCTTTGGTACGTTGTAAGTATCTGCTCTAAGAACTTAGAATAATAGAGTTGGAGCTGGAACAGAAAGAATATTCATTGTTGATGAAGAAGTGAGATGTAGAGATTCAATAACCAGGTAGCTGGGTGTGGAGCCTCATCTAGGACTCCCAAACCATGTGTCCCTCAAATAAGGATCCGCATAGCATGGTCACAGCAAGGGAGGTAACCAGAGAAAGTTAAGGGTGGCCTGGAATTCCTGAAAAATATCTTGATGTTCAATAAGCTGATTCCTTAGAAAGAGAAAATGAAGTGACTCGAGTAACAGCAAAATGGTTACAAGCGAGTGCTCGAGAGTTACAGTCTTGGGTCCAAATATTGGGTCCACTGATTACTAGCTCTGTGGTCTTGGGCAGTTTGCTTTAATAATTTCTTTATTCACCACATATTTACTGAGCATTAATTATGTGCCAGGTAACCTCTGTGCTGGAGATACAGAGTGAACAAAGCAAAGGCCCTTCCCCATGAAGCTTATATGCTAGAAGGATGAGGTGGACGACAAAAATGTAAATACATGCTGTGTCAGATGGAAATAAGTGTCAGGGAGAAAAATGAAGCCAGATGAGGGGTAGAGGGAGTGCCGGGGAGGAGTTGCTATTTTATGAAGGGAATACCTCACAGATAAGGTGACATTTGGGTGGACACCTGAAGGAAGTCCTTAATCTTTCCCAGCCTCAGTTTCCTCATCTCTAAAGGGGATAATGATAGTGCCTCCTTCACAAGGAAGTATTGAGAATTCAATGAGAGAATGCATTAAAGCCAAATTCTCTGTTGATGGTAGCCATAGTTATTATAATTTGTTTCTTTTCCTGTCAAATG